TATATTGAACTATAGTTTTCGAAAGTTTTATCACTTTTTGTTTATAATTGACATTTTTACAGCAACTTTAAAAAATTGACGTTTTATACCGTTTCTTCAATCTCACGGCTTTGTTATTGCAAATTTTGTAATCGGACCACCGCCATTTTGTAGCTATTTTTATTACGAACAAAATCATGTCCTAAGCATTTTTTCGTACAAAGTCTCCCGCTGAGTTATTTAAAGAAAACTACTAAAAAAAATTTTTTCACTATTAAATTGTTAATAACTTTTTTTCCTGATAAAATACTTTGTCAGCAAGTTAGCCTGTTATTGTACTCATCATTTAAAGTAGGTCTGTGTAGTTATTTCCGGGTTATCAATGTTTGACACAGGCCGAACCTCTATCAACTGGACTAATAATAAAAGCCTTATGGATGCTCATAATAAGGACGTCTTGACGTCTATCAAAACTGCAGAAAAGGGTGTCTTATGGATGGATTGGACCTTATGTATCACCAAAATGGATATTATAATTGATGTATGTTATGGATGTCCATTAGAGACGAAAAGTTAACGTTCTATAGATGTCGTATACTAGTAGATATACTTAAAGCGAACATCCACTATACAGTGTGTTCAGGAAATGGTGGACAATCTCTCGGGTATCAGCAGGTCTTGTAAAATTAAAGCCACAAGTTTATATTTTTTTTATTCGTATTCGCCTCTTGATGTTGACTATTCGATGTAACTTTTTTGTTGCTTATGCCCGTTTGCACCGTTTAAAATTTAAACCAAGTTCAACTGAACTTGGTTCAGTTTTAAAACTAGGTTTAATAATCAGCTTTTGGACCACTTACTGCCGATTGTAGATTAAATTAAACTGGGCTTTAAGAATACTGTTTAGGGATTTTATTATGCTGCTAACTTATGTCCTTTGCTAATGATAATTAAGACCTGACTTATTTAATGTGTCACTAAATGTCACCTCACTCAAATTAGACATACACACTTCCAAGTAAAACTGAAGAGGTTTGGTGTTAGTTAGCCGGCAGAGCCGGAAGGTACTTGAGTCCCATACGGGAGGCAATCCAGCTATAGTTGAGATTTCTTTTTTGTATTGAATTATTATTTTTTTTTCAGATTCGTTCCTCACGGGCGAAAATATTAGTGAATTCAACACGGCCCTTATATGCGTCTTGACATAAAGTGAGCACAAGAAATGTTTTCTTATTAGTTGTTTTTCGATCAACGTAATCATGATAAAACAAGTTAAATGTGAAACAACGGAGTTGTTATTGCAATATCCGGGCAATCACGACAATATATACATATTTTAACATGTAATAAATAATGAGCAATCTTTAATAATAATTGTAACAATTTTACGTTAGAAAAATATACGCCCCTGAGCATAAAACAATGAAGGCTAAACACTCACAGAATTATTATCATGAAACATCTATAACCATCACAATCATAAGAATACATAGAACAATTAACAACACTTAGAACAAGTACTTAAATAATAATTACCTGCTAACTAATACCGGTTAAACACTTTTAAATTTTCACTACCTTGCCACACTGCCCGCCGAACGTCTTACTACCCATCTCCACACTGTTCTTACTTCAACTATTTAGGATTCCTTCCAGAATTCCCAACCTAAGCGCCTGTTTTTGTGCTTCCTTCTACCAACTGTCAATATTACGTTTTCATTATTATACAACGCCCACGTAACAGGTGAAGTCGAAGTTGATACGATAAGTATGGTTTTGCACAACATCAAAGTCAGAATCTGAATCCATTTCAAAGTTCTCAATGACGTCTTAACACCACTCTCTCAATCACAATCCACAGGAAACAGGAAGAAATACCTATTTAAAAAAATTACAACTAGCAGCTAAGTAGGTACTGTCAATAGTGTCAATTTATGTTTTCTCATTAATCCAAGTTGAAGCGGTCAAATTTAAGGGTTTAAATTAATCCTAGATTAATGCATAGATTTCAAACACAAACAAAATGTTATATTTTAATCCAAGTTCAGACTTAATCCTGGATTAAACACAACGGTGCAAACGGGTATTATTAAATTTAGATAATCTTTGGATAAAAGCTATGTTTGAAGATTTGGGAGCTCAGTTCGATGTTTCGAAGACTTCGTCGCTAAGGTACAGGGCGATTCACTATATTTTGACCCCCCCTTTAACTTTTTTGTTTTAGGAGTTATAAAAAAAATGTGAAATACAAGAGTTGCAAAATTTTTTATAAATTCGAAAATTATGTTTGAAAAACAAATGAAGCGCAAACAAAATGGCCGCGGATGTTAACTTTGTTGATTTAAATGGAACACCCTGTATATTTTTACATATTTGGATAGAACGTTCTCTGTCTAGCATAGTCATAAAAAAGAAAAGAAGGTTTTTTATTAAGAAAATAAAATATTCATGATATGCGCATCGATTTAGTCACTTGATAAGCCAAAATGGCGGCTGAACCAGAAAATGGTGGCATCAGATTTTACGACAGTTTTACTGGAAAAATACGGGTTTTCTCGGAAAATCCCAAGTGACAGAAAAATCTTAGAATAGGTCAAGAAACACGTTGGAATTTTCCCAGAATTTTTAAAAAATTTTCGACTTGACCAATTTTCACCTAATTGATAGAATTGTACTTTGTGAGTTCTACTCAAATCCGAGAGATTACCCGTCATTTTTTAGACGCACTGTATATTAAAACAATATTCTGTGGATGTATAAGGGGCATTTTATTTATTACGGTTTATATACGATGAAGTTAAAAATATATACATGAATTTGAGCAGTTGGATAATATGATGCTATGTTGAGGATCTGCTTGAAACAATATTCACAGAAAAGTAGAAAAAATGTGTTTACTGTGTCCAAATATTATATTAAAAAGAACTAATGTTGTATAATTACAAAGCATTTTAAACATGACATTTCACACCACATATATCTCAAAATTTCTCAAAAATATTTAGCAATAATTACTTATATATAATATAATAGGCACATGTATATATATTGTATTGTTTTTTTTGTCAATCAAGGCATTATTAAGGTAATATCCGTCGACTCTTCTTCTTCGCCTTAATTTTTTCTTATGGTCCTCATTTTCTGTATCTTCTGATCAATTACTACGATTTGAATTAATTATCTTTTTCTATTACAAGTTGGTAAATAGACACGAATTTATGCAAGCTAGCAGCATTGGTTGGCAATAGATCCAATCCAGATGCAATTGAATATTATATGAGGTAGTTACATTAGGCATTTTGCATATAAAATCATTTTATACATCACAAGAGCAGTTTGAAATTTCTTTTACGACGCCTGTGTTAGTCGTCTTCTTATTTGGACCAGTAAGTCTCTTCATACGAAGGTGGTACTGCAACAAACAGAAAAGTTTATTTCGATGCATATTTTTATTAATTTAAAGACAAACTATTTAAAACCATGAAAATGTGTACAATAGTGCAGAAATCTTCCTTTATGACAATCGAAACTAAGGCATTTTTAAAAAGATGCAAAATAAGTTTATTTTCAAAAACGTCTGCTGTCAGTTTTATCTTTCACAGTTGGAGAAATATAATGCGGCGCTAGAAAGGGGTTGAAGGTTGAAAGGGGTTACTGGTTCTTCAACATATCTTTTTAAGAAGTTGAAAATCTGTCATTCCAGATATTCTTTTGAAGAACTTTCACTTATAAACATTCCAATTCTGACTTTTACTCTACAGGGTGTCTCATAATTAGCTGCCAACCCTGAACAGGCCGATTCTATGATCAAAACTAAGTAAAAAAGTTCATATGAACATGGGTCCGGAAATGCTTCCTAAGGGCACAGGGACCCATTGAAAAGAGAGGAATGGAAATCATTTTTTTGCAATATCTCTCAATCGCGTTGTGATAAACGAATGAAATTTGGTATACACAGCTAAATTTTGATGAGCAATTTGATGGACTAATCCATTTATTTCCACAAGGTCCATTGGGGTGGGTACGGGGGGGCCCTTGGTACTTTGCGTGTGTAACTTTTTCATCTTTTCAAGCTTTTACAAAATTATTTTATTAAAAAAGTAAAAAAAAATAAAAATCGTATTTTTTGCTTTCTTTAAAATTGTTTATTAACGATTTTTTTGCATAAAATTTTCTGTTTACATTTTTTAAATAAGCTATTTCGATGGGAAATTCAATTCTCTACAAAATTTTTACTATGAACTATACCGAAATTTTGCTTCGTTTTCGTGCTATATTTAAAAAACTGCAAAAGTGCTTTTTCACCCCTTACTTCAATTTCAACCCTCTAATTTAATAGCAACCCGCGGTTTTTTCATTTTTAATAACCCTTCGAACAAGTCATGTGATGAAATCCTTGAACGACTTATTTCCTTCCTTTTTTGCAAAAAATAGAATTAAAACGTATAAGGGAAAACGCAACGAAAATAAAAAAAATGGCTAAGTTTGAGCGGCCATATATCAGTCAATTTTCATCCAAAAATACTTTAAAACCTCCTGTTTTGAAGGCAATTTTATCTACTTTTTTTTCTATGAAGCAATGTCTATACCTATCTTGCTTTTTGAGGCAAAAAGTAAAAAAATCAGAAAATCGAATTTTTTGCTTTTTTTCAAATCGTTTATTAACGATTTTTTTGCATAAAATTTTCCTTTTATATTTTTTAAATAAGCTATTTTGATGGGAAATTCTATTCTCTAAATAATTTTTTCTATGAACTATAGCGAAATTTTGCTTCATTTTCGAGCTACAATTAAAAAACTGAAAGGGGTGCATTTTCACCCCTATCTCCAATTTTCACCCTCTAATTTAATAGTACCCCGCGGTTTTTTCATCTAAAATGACCATTTGAACGATTCATGTAATAAAATATCTTAAACGCCATATTTTCTTTTAAAATCCTATATCCAATAGCCTATATGTATCTTCGTGCATAATGATGCTCCAGCTCATTAAAATAAAATCAGATTCTCTTGATTTTCTTCTCTGGGGACATCTTAAGCAACTGCTACTACTACTACTAACTAGTTTTCAACAATGTATTTAGTATCGTTTTTAATAAGTAAATTGTAAAAAAGGAAACAATTTATTTTTTTTTACTAAAAAACGAAACATTTTGGTAAAAAATATGCAAGAAAAGAAATACATTTTCTAAGTGAACCTAACTTTTAAATGACACTTACCTCCCAAATGAACACCAGTTGCTTCTGCCAACAATAGACAATCAGTTCTTTCTTTATCGGTGAGGGGAGTTGGCAACTGAAATATGGGTGGGGCTGAGACTCTATTCGACACAAATTGAAACTCGTCGTCAAGTTCGTTTATTTGAGCTATAGGGGGCGTTTTGATGTCAGACAGAAGAGGCGCCGAAGGACGAACATCTTCTGCGGAGACACTAACAGCTCGTGTTGTCGGCACAACGAATCCAATAGATTTACGGCCTTCGCAAGTATATTTTGAAGGCACAGGCATTGAAGTTAACTCTGCGATTCTTGTAGTTGAGTGGGGAGGTGGTTCTTCAGGCGGGTGTGGAGCAGTGCTGCCAACTGTAGTAGGAATCCGCAGGAAGTTATAGTCCCCAGTGGCAGATGCTGGTGGCATTGGCATCTGTCTGGGTAATAAAGGTGCTTCTTCTTCTGTTGAACAGGAGGAACTTCTTCCAGGGGAATACAGGGGATTCATACTACCAAAACTGTGAGGAGATGTAGAACCATCTGTAGGGTAAGGCCACGTATTTCGTACCGTGGTGGAACGTTTAGGATTAGTATGGGTTGTTCTTGTTAAACGCGGTGATAGTAAGCCATAGTCAGGGTGGCGGATTACCTTTGAATCTGGAAAGAGACAAAATCATCACCTATGTTTTAAATTGTCTCAAGTTCAAATTGGAACAAAATTGGAAACTTTCAGGACAACTTCCTTCATCAGAAATAAAGAAAAACTTTTCTTACTAAAGCAGTTCTTAAGAGTTTCGCGATAATTCAAAAATTTTACGAGAAACAATTTTTGGTGAACCAATAAACATGCGAGTAACTTCCAATTTGATACAGTTATCTTACTTTATCTTACAGTAAAATATGCATGTAAAGTTTGATAGAAAATTAACTAGTGGGGTTGAGCTTAGAAGACTGAGGGATTCAACTTAAAAAAATATATACTGCAGAGTGCAGAGGCACGGATTTGGATAAACCATTTTCAATGAAATGTACAACGCCTTATTAGTACAATGCATAGTTTACGAGTAAAAATTCAAAGATTAGTTTCTACAATTAAGAGATTTTTTTAATGTCATTTTAATAATAGGTATTCATAGAGCTTGTAGAAGAGAAAGGCCACTAAATAAATACATATAACAGTACTCGATTACTGAAAATGACAGATTTTTTGAAATTTTCACCTAACTTTTGAAAATTTTCGCCAAAAGTCGCTAAGAAACTCCCAGCCGCCCCAAATACTGAAACCACAGTATACGACATCGCTGGAGGCTTTTGGCAGAGCAGCCACTGACGATGCACTGCAAAAATACAAAATTCACTCTACTTTCGAACTTCGGAAACTGAAAAGTTTACCCAATATTACGAAATTCGAATTTAGAACCTACAAAATAACAACGAAAGTACCATGCCAAGAATACAAATCGATCATCAGTTATGGTTGACGAAATTATAAAGATGGGTATAATCCAGAGAGGCCAATGGTTCACACCTAAGCGGACTTCGCTACAGAACATCTGCGGACGCATCAAGGACCGTGATCGACCGTCAACCCTGATACCCTTCAATTCAATAACCAAACAAAACAGTTCGACGGTTGATATTTTTCAATTGGTGTTTTATTTCACAGCCTACCACGTTGATGAAAATATGAAATCTATTTATTTTCTGTTCATTTTCTAGCTCTCCAAGAACTCATCCCTTGGTAAAAATTATTACCTTTCGCATTTTTAGACGTTGTACCATGTGTCTCTTGTAAACCATGTCCCAGGACTAACTCTACATCCACCTTTACTGTGCTCTTGGGGGAATTCTTCAATACAGCGGTGACCTAAAAACATAATTAATAAAAAGGGTGTTCATAATTTTTGATTCGGTATAATTTTCCACTTAGGAGATTACTTTAAAAATTCACAAGGTTCGCTATATTTCTAGCACCTTTTTACATGTTACATATAATAAACTGGATAATTTATTGGTCTTTGAGGTTACCAATTTTTAGAATAGAAATCAATGATAATAATAAGAAATCGCAAACTGTGACAGATTGATAGGTATATCGGGTACCAGACCAACACAACTGCAATGACAAAGAATTAGTTTTTATTGTAGATAAATATAATTCATACAAATAAAAATAATAGCTGATTGTCTGCTCCACTTTTACTATTTTTAATATCAGAATTAAAAATGTTATCTTCACCATCACCATCAGCAAAAGTTTATAAAAATTTGATCGATAGACAGGTCGAGCACAGGTACTAGTCACTAACTCTGTTTCAACTACTTTGGCATGTTGGTGCGAGTATTCCATTCTTGTATAGATGTGTCAAACAATTTTTTGACAAAAATTTTTGGGTTAATTTTGAAAAAACTGTTGTTTTTTTTCTAATTAAAGCTCGTGGAAATAATTTATGCTATAGAGAAATCAGTAGATATTCCGCTGTCAAAGAACGACATTTTTATTACAATTATGTAGCATTGTGATAAATAATAAATAATTAAAAAAATATATTTTTTCAAAAAGAAATATTTTTTAAATCTTTAATTTTCGATATTTAATATTTTTTTATAAAAAATATTGATTTTTACGAAAAAAATCTTTTTTATTTTTAAAAAATGAATAAAAGTGTGAATGTAGTGAAAAAATTATTTTTTTTTTAAATTTTTCATGTTTTTAATTTTTTCGCTGACAAAATTAATTGGCCAAGCTATAAGTTGCTTGCAGTACACTTACCTCTAAGAAAACCTTGTGGGACAAGAGATTGCACTTCTGGAAATTCGGTATTTCGGCTGTAGGGGGGATCTTTATGTGGGACAAATAGGTTTTTAAACTGTGAGGGTGCGCCCCAGGTCCCTGATCTGAGGCCAGCAATTGGTTGGCCGTGATATATTTCTGTGTTGGAAGAGACACTTTCGCAGAAACCTTCTGAAATATACAGGGTGATTCAGTCATAATTTCATTAATTTCAAGGGAAGATAAGGAAAAAATGAGTTGAATACGAATGCGCTATTAAAAAAAGCGCATATTTACCCTAAAAAAAATTTTCAAGTCATTATTTAAACCCTTTTTCCGCCCGTTTTGACCGCTGACCTGCAAAGGTTTATCGAGAGTGAATTTTGACCTACCGTTTATTCGGTCACTAACCTAGTTTTTATTGCATTTTTAATCCGTAGGGAACGATAAGGAAAAAAACAGACCTTTTTACCTGAACACACAAATCAATAAGACATTTTTTTACGTTTTAAATATTAACAAGTATTATTTATTTCTTAATAAAAACAAATGTATAACGATAATAATTGTCTTTAAATGAAAAGCGACATTTATAACTCAAACACTTAGATTTAAAGTTAACAAAAGCGACTGAAATTTATTATGATTTTAACAAAGTAGCGTCCTTCGGAAGGCCTTATGAAATTTAACAGTATTTTTGAAGTTCACTTAGACTGTCAGGGCCATGTGTTGAGTATCTGGTATAAAGAGAAAAATCGATATTTCAAATAACGCGCGAAATGCATTCCTAAGAACGTAGGAATTCCATGAATAAGTTGTTAGAAGTTGTTAGAAAAATAATAATAGCTATAAGAATAGATTAAATGGGATTAACTAACCCGTCCCGCATTGCTACACGGAGTCACTAGAGGAAGGCTAGGGTTATTTGCGAGTTCAGTTAGTCACATACCTAATTATTTATATAGGGTGTGGCGTCTTTAATGCAGACAATGAAAAACCTAGACTCTTGACAATAAATGAAGTAAAATAATATATGCTACCATAAGGCGATTATGAAATTTGAGTATCAAAAATATTTTCCAAAAAATTACAAGAAGTGACAAAATGTTAATGCCGGTCCTGTTTAACATAGCGCAAAAAACATTGACCTGGTCCGCACACCGCACGGCATCTGTGGAGTGTCAGTTAGTTTCAGAACGGTTTTTACTTGTGGGCGAATTGCTGCTAAGTTGTGTCAAAAAGATCGCGCTTCTGCTGTTTAGACGTTAAGTGTTTATTAAAGACGTTTCTTATTTTTTATTTTTTAAGTTATTGTTTTAACTAAATTGCCAATGGACGACGAGGACAACAATAATACGTTTACTACTATCGAACATCCTGACATGGTGATAGTTATAATAGCGGTAACTTTGCATCTGTGTTGTTTGTCGTGATCCAACCTATCACTTGCTAAAATAATAGTAGTCCTATTTACAGTGAAATAACTAATTTATGTAATTTTATGTTTATTTTTCCTTTTAATTAAAACGAGAGGATTGTATTAAACTGGCCAAAATTATTAATTATTGATTTAAAACATTTTATCTCTGTGTATATTTCATACATTTTAATTTGGCAACACTGATTTGCGCAAAGGCTCGACTCTCTGTTAAGTTCGGTTCGGCAAGCGTCCGCTGATGTTAATCGAATGACATGACATTTTTTTGACCAGGACCGTACTAAAATTTATGTCTTCTCTACAAAATTTCAAGTTCAATTTTCTTGACAAAACGTGGATACATGAATTTCTTATATAAGGGTTTTTTATTGCATATATTCCTAAGAATCTGCATTTTATTTTTTCTGCACTAAAGACGCCACACCCTGTATAAAGTCCAGTCAATTAGGTAATTATTAACATAGTATACAGGTTCGGAAAGTACCGATGGTCCATCTGCCGTTACGTGAGAGCGATAAAGGAAGTCATAGAAATCCGTGCGATAGAGAAAGATGGCTATAATGAAAGCGTCTAATAGTCACCGCCCATTTCGCCCTTCCACAAATAAGAAGTGGATCTTATTACATGATAAAAACAATGTTTCATTCTTCCTTTTTCTACTTTTCATTGGAAATAATGTAACAGGTACAATTTATCTACCTACAACTTACCAGATATAACTCAACCACAACTGAAGAAATTACCAAAGAGGATTTATTAGCCAACTTTACCCCTACATTGATGACCTCCCCTACGACGAAAGCGTTTTTTTCCAACTTGACCTCCATACGAATCGTCTCGTGAAAACAGAGCCACCTCCTCATTGCCAGCTTTTCTCTACGTGAGTACGTACTGGGGACCTAAAACAAATTATGTTTATTCTGCCCTAGTAGCCCAGTTACTGTAGCTGAAAATATAGTAATACCTCCGAATTTTTTATAACTGCATCGATTTTTCTCAAAGTTTAGAATTAGGCTCATCTTACCCCCCATTTCAAAACTTATATATGCGCTATGTGGCTTTTTGTTCTTAAGGGGTGAAAACCACCCTTGTTGAAAAAAAAAATTCAAAGGACCCCGCAATAATCTTATGGAAATTGGGTTTCTGTCAAATTGTCTGAATTTTTGATATGTTGTAGATTTTGTTATCCTGAACAAAAGTCTCCATGGGCACAAAGTGTACTATTTACAGATGTCAAAAGCATATTTTAATTATTCTAATATATAGGGTAATGGTTTTGAGGTCACTGGATTCAACCCTCATGTCAGATTGGACAAATTGACCGTTGACAGCTGTCAATACACTGTCAACGAAGAATAGAAAAGTAAATATTCTCTTTTCACATTGAGAGTTTGGGCTTTTGAGGGAGCTGAATTCAATTCTCATGCCAGATTGGCAAAATTGACAGTTGACAGCTGTCAATTGACTGTCAACGAGGAATATAAAAGTAAATATCCTCTTTTCACATTGAGAGTTTGGGTTTTTGAGTTCGCTGAATTCAATTCTCATGTCAGATTGGACAAATTGACCGTTGACACCTGTCAATTTTTCCAATCTGAGATTAGAATTGAATTCAGCTCCCTCAAAAGCCCAAACTCTCAATGTCAACAGAGAATATTTAGTTTCATATTCCTCGTTGACAGTCAATTGACAGCTGTCAACTGTCAATTTTGCCAATCTGGCATGAGAATTGAATTCAGCTCCCTCAAAAGCCCAAACTCTCAATGTGAAAAGAGAATATTTACTTTTCTATTCTTCGTTGACAGTGTATTGACAGCTGTCAACGGTCAATTTGTCTAATCTGACATGAGGGTTGAATCCAGTGACCTCAAAAACATTACCCTATATATTAGAATAATTAAAATATGCTTTTGACATCTGTAAATAGTATTGAAAATGAATAGTTTTGCAACGGGTCAGGGGAGCTTTGGCAGCTCCGTAGCTGCCAAAATGTTCATTTTGGCACTTTGTGCCCATGGAGACTTTTGTTCAGGATGACAAAATCTACAACATATCAAAAATTCAGACAATTTGACAGAAACCTAATTTCCATAAGATTATTGCGGGGTCCTTGTAATCAAATCTTTTTTATTTATGCAGTATGAGTAATTTCATGTGCTATCTAACATGAAACTTATGTATCCCAAATTTTCAACCCGGAAAAACCTTTAAAAACCACCCCTTTGGATGAAAATAATATAAAAAAATTGTTTTCAACTTGAAACGTTTCAATCATATATTTTTATCAAATTAAAATTGATTTCTTAATTAAAAAATCCTTTTTATCGATTGCAACATTTCAACCCTTGAAAAATACCCCTTCTTTCGAAAATAAAATGGTTCTACTCTCAATATTATTGAGAATAGAAACATTTTATTACTAAATTTATTAAATAAAATAAATTGGCACTTTCCAACCCTTATTAATTAATACTTTAAATAACTAGATAGATTTCACAGGGTCTAACGACACTTGGAGTATACGGTAATTCAATAAACAAAGAAATATAGATAAAAAAAATTAGATAAATTTGGAACGAATACACTGAAGATTAATTTTTCGAGACAAAACGTCTGAATCTGGTTCGGGCTGAGGCAGTAGAGTATTGGGGGTCATGAAGGCTTGCAAAATGTGTAATAAAATTTACAGGGTCGTATTTAACAAAATGAAGTTGCTGGTGGTCCTGGACAGACGAAACGTTACATATAAAAGTTGATTATACCATTCGATAGAGGGCAAAAAGTAGCCATGAGAAAGTGTTCTTCTTTTTTCAATATCACCTCAAAGCTGAAATGAAACAAAAACGGATTTCCAAATTTTCGTTTCTTTTTCAAATATTTCGAAAACTAATCATGTTAGCCTTGATTTTTTAGAGACATAATGTTGGTCCCCTGATTACGCAACTTTGCCCCTATTTAAGCTAGTTCGTATCTCTTACCATTTTCGAGATCCCTGTAGTGAGAAGCGAATTTGTAACAGCCTGTATATGTGTGTGTATGGGTATGTGTAGTATATAAATATAGTACTGATTTAATTCGAATATACACATACTACATACAAATGCTTCAAAATTCTTGTTTGACCTAAATTTTCCTAAAATTATCACCTATACACGTGTTTATTTTTTTGACGATAACTTTCTTACTTTCTAAGATTTTTAATCGCACAAAGGCTCATTTTGCAGGGAATTGTAAGGGCTACGTGAACTGTGGAGTTGATCTTTTTTAACCCCTTCATTTTAAGTTTGAAGGATTTAAAGAACTCGAAGAGGGTGGTTCTCTCATTCATATGATAACTTAATATGGCGATATCTCGATTAATATTAATTTTAGAGGTATAAAAAATAAAGCAAAATCTTCTGCAAAAATAAAGCTAAATTTTTTTACTCTTGTATTTTTTTCGTGTACACCTTTTAATTTTTAAGTTACAGCGTAAAAATCGATTTTTTTTCAAAATTTTTAAAAATTAACATTTTCAAAAATTATGATTTTTTTCGAAATCATGCTTTGTAAGTGAGCTAAAGACCCAGAGCATATTCTTAGAACATAAATGAAGAAATCTGTAAACGGATTGTATATAATTTTAATTCTGTCGCCAAAGGCACTGATTTGTTTATTAATTTTTTCTTAAAGAAAATGAGACTCATGTTATTTCGATCATATTTCCGTTAATTTTGATTCTAAAGGCTTTTAAAATAGCTCATTTTAAAGTTTTTTCAAAGTACTTTAAAAAAGGTACAAATAGTTTTTTTCCTAACATTTATGGTTTTGGCCTTATTTAACGTTAACTGGTTCCAATTTAGTTTTTAGCTAACATATAATAATGTTTGAAAATCCATAACTCTGTTTATATTGCAATTAGAGAAAAATAAATAGTACCATTAGATTTGTTTTTTTATTATTTTTTTTGTTCATTACAATTTTTACGTTAAATCCAATGGTTTCAGTGTTATTTGCAAAAAATTGTCCGAAAACAAGCACTTTTTCAGTAAAAAATCAACATTTTCAATGACGAATTACTCGAAAAATATTGGATTAACCAAAAAACTTTATATAACATTTGTTACTTAAAATTGACTCCTCTATCGATTCCCGTGGTTATTTTGGTGGTAAAAGTCTCCACCCCCACGAAGGGGTGGGAACCACCCCCTGGAAAAAAGCACACTTCGGCACTATATAAGTTTTGTTCCTTGAGGTATTCCCCACATTCAGTCAAAATTTCACGTCAATCGTTTCAGCTATAAAGAATTCGGAGGTAAAAACCCTGAGTAACTGGACTATAGGTAGAATATAACTTTTTCCGATTTAGATTTAATCATAAAAATTTTTTTTTGCTGCGGTCACTACCCACAGCGAAATATCCACATTAAATAGGCGCCAAGCACACACCACAACCAAATATGCTTTGCCAAAATAGTGCTCACTTGCGGTCAGAGCTGGGTAATTACTTGTAATTTAAAAATAGTTACAATTACAAATTACTTTAAAAAAAAAGGAACTAATTACAATTACAAAGTATATTCTTTAAAAAAGGAATTATATTAATTTAATTACAGTTACATGGAAAATGGATTTAGCAATTACTTTTCTAATTACTTTTCTAATTACTTTTATGATAAAGTAAATTATAGTGACCAAACAGAGAAAAAGGAAAAAATAAGTTAAAAATTTAAATTAAAAGTGTTGTGTAATATTGCGTTCTATTATTTATTAGAATTGATACTGAAATGAAAAGATTATTCTTATTCATTTTCTAATATAGAATTTTTATATTTTTATTCCTAATCTAATAATTTAAACTAGTTCAGTTCATACTATAATTTTATATTATTGGTCAGGTAATTATATCAACCCGATGCTCTTTTTTTGATTGTTAGTACATTTGCAAAATATAGAATACAGTAGTTTTGGATAGACTGGAAAGCAATAATTATTATTAAAAAAATTACGAATCGAACAAGTAACCGAACCAGCAGTTTTCTCAACTCAAAATAAGAGCAGTAACACATATATACATAATATATATTTTTATAAAACTTGATGCTATAGACAACATACTTTTACTTCGTATACTTTCTAAATTAATAATAATTATAATAAAATAAAATGTACTCTGTTAATTCTGAGGTTAATTCACCAAATCACTTTTTATTGTTCACGCGGCACAAGGCTTTCCTCAAATGAAATAATAGAAGTCTGCAAGTCTATACGCATTTACGCAATACGCATGATCTTAAAAGTAATTATAATTATTAGAAAAAGTAATTGTAATTGGAAAAAGTATTTGTACTTATAGAAGTAATTTGTAATTCGATAGTTCAAATAATATAATTACAAATTACAATTCCTATAACGATTTTGCTGCAATTACAATTCCAAATTACTTTAACAAAAAAAAGTACTTAAATACAATTACAATTACAGGATAAAAAAGGGAATTGTAATTGCTAATTACTTTTTCACCAGGAATTACCCAGCTCTGCTTGCGGTAAGTAGACACTCCAAGTAAAAAGCACACTTACAACTAACAAATCATTTATTTCGTTTTAGTGAATTAGGTCGATATTTTGTTGTCCTAAGCAAGACAACTCAGTTACTGTAAGTGAGCTCTTTGTCAATTCAATTGCTGCTACACTAAAAATAAATCATCCAAGTAATAAAATATTTGCAAGGACAAAAAATAATGTTGCTGCAAGTAAATGTAGTTTGTTGAAACATTTTTGAAACCATAACAAAAAAATGTCTTGTCGTTGTTTAACACTTCATTTGGAATTGTGTTTTATTTGTTTCTATTATGATCGATCTGTCTCGAGTGAGTTGCTCAAGTAAATGTTTGTAGGGCTCACTAAGCGTAACGTAGGCCTTACTTAAAATTTTCCGGAATAAACAGCAATTATTTATCTCAGTGTGGAGCTACAGCTAAAATAACTCCTCTCGCCCAAGGTCCTAGTTATTTTTCAGTCACGCGTTTCTTCTTGTGAATAGGGTAGAGTACCCCGGAGTATTCTACATATGACACAATGCCAGTAGTATCCGGTAAGGGAATTTCGTGCGTCATGTCAGTTCAACAGCCAGCTCACCGGAATTATACAGGGTGTTAATGAACCTTTTGAGGTCTACTGATTTTCATAGAAGATGTTCGTTGTACCCACCATTTGCCTGCACACAAGCTTCAGCGCGACATATCCAATTCGCTCGCACGCGTTGCAATATTGCCACGTCCTCCCGAATCGTATTACAAGCTTCGGCAATGTCCGCCCAATTCGCCCTTTCACAAATACGAAGTGGATCTTATTTGTGGAAGGATGAAATGGGCGGTGACTATTAGACGCCTTCATTATAGCCATCTTTCTCTATCGCACGGATTATACGTGAATATACCAAGTTTTGTTTCAATGATGTCTTTTCTTAATTAATAAAAAAGACATTTTGTTGTTGTGGCAACAAACACGTTTCAGCAAAACATATATATTTTTTTATTGTTCTTGCAAATATTCCGTTATCAATAGCTAAAATATCTTGGCACAGCGCCTCACTTGGATGAATTCCTTCAGTGATTTCTTGGGGAGTAAAAACGATAGTTTACAAACTGTACCTTTATGATGTATAAAAAATACGTTTATTTACCATCGACACGTTTGGCATATCTTTTAGATATATGGGGGCGAAGATTTTGAGCTCTATCTGATCTTCCTCTGTCTCCCTCCGGTTAGCGACCATGTCGGCTCTCAGCACGTACTTCACGTACCCATATTTACCTGAATAACTGCTAGGGATACACGTGGGCAGTGTCAGTTTGAACGGGAATGTATGGTCGCCGATGTTGAAATAACCTAAAGAGCATTTTATGCATTAGGAAATAGAAAAATCAGGTATACAATATCCTCAGAAGTTAAAAGTAATACGTTAATTCTTGACGGAAAAGAAAATGTCCCATTTTAATTCACAACACAAAAATTAAGGATCAAAGTATATATTTCATTCTCCACATTTTAAACAACTGAAGTTGTTCTTTCCAACTATGGAATGAAAAATATACATTTGTTATACAGGGTGTTTCAGAAAAACCTCGCGTAAATACAGGGGGTGATAGTACGGCAGAAAATAAGAATTTTTTGTCTTATAGCTGTTTTACATTGACAATTTATTCATGAATTAATTCACGAATTTGGTAAACAGTGTGGTTTTATACTGCTACAGATTTTGTCAAGTTTTTTGACGTATGAATCAGTTCTACCAATGAATCAAAGGAGCAAATAAATTTCAGAAATGTCACCTTTCCACTCATAATTGTAGTGATACAACGGTGGTACCGTTCTGACACATATTATATAAATATTAGTTTTTGTAAGTAACAAATCAGTAAAAACAATGCAAAACTAGCACGACGCCACACAATTATTTACATATTCCCACAGATCAAAAAAAGACATAGATACATAATTTATACCTATGTGGCTTGAAGCCAAAATAGTTCATCGGAAGGGTGAGGAAGTTGTGTTTACATTCCCTCATGGGCAGTGGCGTATCATTTTATAGGGGCTGATTGCAACTAAAATAACAATAAGTTTAATAATTATAATTGTAAATTTTATTTTCCGCAGATAAACTAGGGAAAATATACTGTAATAGGTATGTTAAGAAAGCGTGTTTTATTTCTTAAGGTATCTATGAGATTATTTAACTTTTCTTCAACCTATTTTATTACTTATGAACTTCACAGTCCCCTACATTTACTTCTTCCTGGAATACGGTTGAGATGATCTACTGACACAATTTTACTCTCATTTATATACAAAAGGAATGATACATTTCATCATACTCTTAAGCTGTTATATATATGATTTTCACGAGATTTTAACAAAACAAAGTATTTAAATTCCATTTGGGTAGGTCCTAGTTTTAATTTTAATAGCTTACGACACGGTGTAATATTTGGTATCAACTCTTACATAGAATTTATAAAATTTGTATATAGGAAACTAAAAGATTGACCATATTTTAAAATTATAATTCATTTTTATAGAGTCGGTCCATTAACCCTTCCTATCACAAACACATATGTGTGAATTTATATAAAAAACTAAAAATTAGAACAGGTTTAAATATATATTTTATATAGAATTACATGTAGATTTTTACATTGCGTGTTACGGCTATATTACTGGAGTTAAAGTTTGTCCCTAATAAAGCTGTCAATTGGTTTATTTTTTAGGTTGTCTCTATCGAATGAATGTTATGAATGAAAAAAGACAACCATATTACTCAAATAGAAGTTTATTGATTATGAAATAAAATATTTTTTGTTAACTTATGCTTTATCCTAAGAATATTATCCTGCATTTTATTACAAAAGTGGTCAGAGCATATATAGGTATATATGGATATTGTTTCTGTATATGGAATTCCTAAGCTTCTAAACCACTGTCTTCTAATTAGAAGATTTTTCGGAAATCTGTAACATATAAAAAAATCGATTAAATGTTTTACGCCTTGGTTTATCGGATTTACTAATGCTTTTTGGCACTTAAATTTTGTCAAAGCGAAATATTTAAATTTAACCCCAACAGCTTGTTTTATTGCTACGTCTATGTATATTGTTACTTATGGAACGATCGTTGATTTTGTTTAATTTGGTACATATTGCAAATATAGCACTTCTTCGGCATTGTTCAACACTTTTTTCACTGGAAAAGATCTTACTAACAAGCACGAAATCATTAAAAACGCAAAAACATTAGATTACACTACGAAACACAACAATGGCGGACTCGAATTTTCTGGAAAATGTCAAAATTTGAGCGTAAAAGTGGCGCGAAACTTAAATGAACCAATCACAACACGGGGAATAGTAAATATAAACATGAATCATTTGAGATTCAAACAAATACCCTGAATTATTTATCTATGTTTTTTCTTGATCTGTGCATATTCCAATAACATAACCTTAATACTGATCTGAGGCTGGAAATCTGTTGGGTTGGTACTTCTGATCTTCACGAAGAAATCGACGAAAATTTGAACATGCGTCAAGAACTTGATGAATAAATTCATGAAGTTATTTGACAGCAGATTTGGTGCATTACACTTGTCCAATTTCTTGATGAAGCGACTTCATGAATTAATTGATCAATAAATTGTCAATGTAAAACAGCTATTATGAACTATATGTCTATCTCCTCTTGTTTTCGAAATACAGAGCGACAAAATAAAATTTTTTAAACAGAATTTTTACGAAAATTTCCAAACGGTGCGAAATATTTTTATGAAATTTGGTATTCCGGGGTTTTTAAGGATGCCAAATATGCTGGTCTAATTATTTTTTGTATATTTCACAGAGGGCGCTAGTTATGCTGCATTCCTATTACATTTTAAGTTCTAGTTTTTTTAAGGTTAGGTTTTTTACCATTCTGCCTCCAATTTCTAATGTACTCTTGTTAGAACTTCCTAATGTGGACGGTTTTTGAGAAAAAAGGCTTTCAATTGAACTCTTACAATATTACGGTGTATAAAATAACTGACTTTTCTCGTAGGCTTATGTCAAAACTTATTGATGGATATCTCATAAACAAGGCATACATTCTTAGTAATATTTTAAACTTTATTTAACTTTATATCAAAATTGCAGTGACTGTAATTAGTCATTACTAACTAGTCACTAACAATCAAAATGGTCCGATTATAATTTTAATGCCGGTTTTGAAAATTAGAAGTAAAATACTATAAAACGAATTCTTCGAGTATTCGTAAAAAACAGCGAAATGGATGAAACATGCACTTGAANTGCAGTGACTGTAATTAGTCATTACTAACTAGTCACTAACAATCAAAATGGTCCGATTATAATTTTAATGCCGGTTTTGAAAATTAGAAGTAAAATACTATAAAACGAATTCTTCGAGTATTCGTAAAAAACAGCGAAATGGATGAAACATGCACTTGAACATCGGCGTAAACAGCCGAGCGCGCGCGAGAGGGCGAGTAGTGGGGGAGGAGGGGAAGCGTACATATAGATCGGCCAATTTCGTTGCATATTAACGAAAACTTGAAATATACGTTGTATAGTATTTTACTTGTAGTTTAGAAACCCGGTATAGAATTAAAATCGGACCATTTTTAACGCAAGCAGACTCCCGGCAAAAAAGTAAAAGTAATTTTAAATTGCAATTGCGCAAAAACTAATGGTCCGACAGCGCCTGTCTTTTGCATACTTAAAATTGATATAATTATCTACCTCTGTGCCAAATTTCAGCTCTTAATCTTCATAAATGGCAAAGTTATGAACTTTTGAAGAAATTACGAATTTTCCGGTTTTTCCGGATTTTCTCCGGTTCTAATCATCCGATCGAACCGCCCGACCTCTCATTTTCTTTAGAATTTAATTTTCTACAACTTTTCCATTTATGGGATATGAGATTGCTCTAGTAGTTTTTGTTTTATAAGCAAAAAACAAAAAAAAACGCGTTTTTTGCACTAAAATGTTAATAACAAATTAATTAATGAGAGTTGCGAGCGAACACATCAGGGTATATCTACGGACTGTCTTTTAAATGATGGCACAGGTTGGATGCTGTTAATATGTTAACGTTATAGAGCAAATTATTTACAATAATTGTGTTTTTAATAATTGTTCAAAAATATTATGTTTATTAATATTAATACGCGTTGTCTTTTGTCTCTGTACTTTTAAATAAAGTTTTAATTAAATTTTAGCATTATTCTATTCATTAAACTGTCTTACCAGATACCATTCTAGCTTAGATTTTGAGCCTAATATTTTCGGAAATCTGTAACATATAATAAAATCGATTAAATGTTTTACGCCTTGGTTTATCGGATTTACTAATGCTTTTTGGCACTTAAATTTTGTCAAAGCGAAATATTTAAATTTAACCCCAACAGCTTGTTTTATTGCTACGTCTATGTATATTGTTACTTATGGAACGATCGTTGATTTTGTTTCATTTGGTACATATTGCAAATATAGCACTTCTTCGGCATTGTTCAACACTTTTTTCACTGGAAAAAATCTTACTAACAAGCACGAAATCATTAAAAACGCAAAAACATTAGATTACACTACGAAACACAACAATGGCGAACTCGAATTTTCTGGAANTGCGCAAAAACTAATGGTCCGACAGCGCCTGTCTTTTGCATACTTAAAATTGATATAATTATCTACCTCTGTGCCAAATTTCAGCTCTTAATCTTCATAAATGGCAAAGTTATGAACTTTTGAAGAAATTACGAATTTTCCGGTTTTTCCGGATTTTCTCCGGTTCTAATCATCCGATCGAACCGCCCGACCTCTCATTTTCTTTAGAATTTAATTTTCTACAACTTTTCCATTTATGGGATATGAGATTGCTCTAGTAGTTTTTGTTTTATAAGCAAAAAACAAAAAAAAACGCGTTTTTTGCACTAAAATGTTAATAACAAATTAATTAATGAGAGTTGCGAGCGAACACATCAGGGTATATCTACGGACTGTCTTTTAAATGATGGCACAGGTTGGATGCTGTTAATATGTTAACGTTATAGAGCAAATTATTTACAATAATTGTGTTTTTAATTGTTCAAAAAATATTATGTCTATTAATATTAATACGCGTTGTCTTTTGTCTCTGTACTTTTAAATAAAGTTTTAATTAAATTTTAGCATTATTCTATTCATTAAACTGTCTTACCAGATACCATTCTAGCTTAGATTTTGAGCCTAATATTTTTTTGTTCGTTTTCTCGTACTTACTCTCGTAGGTAATTTAACTCTAACTGTTCAACAAAATTTGTCGCAACAGCTGTCGTTAAATTGCCGCGACAATAAGTTCTCGAAAACAAACATAAAAATATCCGGCTAAATCTGAGCTGTTATGGTATTACCGTCGATTAACTCATGTGTTAATAGTTTCACAAAAGTATTCTGGGGAGTGTAATTACGTATGCGATTTTTGGTATATTTAATAGAAGCCGTAAAGTTCAAAATCTGTAATGACAAACATAAGAAGTAAAAATATGCTTGTAAAACATCTTATACCCTGAAGAAAACTTGTGTAACTGGTACAATGAAGAGATATCGCTTCTGACTTGCTTGGATTTTCTAAAATCCTCTTCAAAAGTTCACAGAAAATTACGGCTCCCTTAAGATCGACTGAGACCTACATCACTACTAGTAGTAATCTTTAAAGTAACACTAATTCTAGTACCTCTTTTTATTATTGTATTCCTAGTTTTCAAAAACTTTATTTTCCACCGCTTATCTGCTCTATTAGGACTCCTGGAAGTTGTTTCATTGTAATGCGTATATTCTTCTCCTACCAGTCTGAGTTTCACCTCTGGAAATGATCGTATTGTATTTTTTATTCCGGCGGTAAAAATAAAAAAAATCCATACATTTTTTCGAGGCTACGGACTCGATGCACTGAATTTAAAATCGTAAAGCAGCATTTCCAAAAGAGTTCACAAATATCTATAGCCCATCGAAAGCGATCACGTGGCATACTTTCTGTCAAAAAAGCAAAAGCATTTGTTAGGAACTGGCTACCGTTGCGGCTACGTTCTTTTGTCTCACCTACCTAGAAACCGAGGATTCTTTAGTCTGCAATACGCCTTTCCTACGATGGTTTGACCAGGTACAGCGTAATCTTTGGGGTCGTCTATTATTATCATGAACGTCATCGTCTTGGGTGCCTGAAAAACAAAAATAATTGCCAAACTGGTTTCCCTAAAAAGGAAGTCAAAACACTATTTTTTATGAACTTCAAAGCTGCAAGGACTCACTTTGGAGCGAAGGTTTATTTGACCAATTATTTTGTTTTGGTAAATTTTTTTGCACCTAATTATGACTCGCGTGTAAACACCACCGCTTTGAATTTATCAGAATTAACAACGTAAACGTAACAATGCCAAGCTATTTCACTATTTTTGTCCCACCCTGTACACATGCTCACGTCCCTATCACACAATTATCGTGTCTTGTTTACACTATTTTATTTATAGGTACTCAGGTAAATACTGTATACGCACCTGGATGATCTAAATTAGGCAACCTTCCTTACACCAACCTGACAATTCTCGATGCAAACCTTCAAGTTGTATACGTCACATAAAAACAAATGAGCAACATTAACATTGGCATGGCACACTCACACATTTCTCACAGCAGTCGTCAGTCAGAGCTGATTTATCTTAACAAGTGCCTACTCGAAAATGAACTCGTCTCGATTAAGTTGGTAGAGAGGAAAACAAAATGTAGGGTGGTAAACGTGGAACGCTTTGGGCGATCGATAGAATTAGAAGGGAGTTATAGCGGGATATACAGGGTGAGAAGGTGGATAACGTTCGTTGGTATTTGATTGCAAGAAGATGCAACAAAACATATGAACCGTCTAAAGTAATATTTTATCCACTAGTGGAATAAAGTAGCTTTGTTTTACTAGTAGAATAATGAAAAAATAATGAACCTATATTAAATCAAATTTAATTCCGCTAATAACAACCTTTGTAGCATTGTTGCCATCATTTTCGAGATATTTTCTCCATATTTCAACAGCATTCACGCAAAATCCTTCTTCTATGATTGTAAATTTTCTTGAAATGCCCATCTTGGTGTCAGGTATTGAAACAAGTAGGTAACTGCCAACGTCCTGTATGTCACTATGTTTCAAATTTGTCAATTCGCAGCATCGACAGGCACCATAAACACTAGGGTGGGTAAAAAAAATCGACTATTTTTTTTACTTTATACTCTGAAATATAGGTTGCTAGACACCTCTAAAAAATTCTCTCCAAATATGAGCTCTTAATTTTAATGGAAAGGTCCTCCGCTTTACAGTTTTTTCCTCAGTACTATAAAAAAAATTAATATCTCTCTATCAACTGTTCGTTAAAAATATCTCTCTCCATATATTGTAGGAAATTGAACGCTCTACAAATAAGGTCTCACAATTTTTTCGTAAACCTCGCCGTTTAAAGGATATTAAAGTTTGAAGTTTGATTATTTTAAGACAAATTTCTGTTTTGCTTATGAATTTTATAACTCGTTAACAAAAAATCATTATGAAATGCGCAATTCATAGTTTTGTAGGAAATTAACTGCTCTACAAAAATGGTCTGTTATGATTAGTCGATTAAATAAAGCGTTTAAAAGATATTCATCGTCAAACTTCAATGCACGCCAATTTTAACAGTTTTTGATTAATAATTCGGAAAATTTCAATTTAGTTTATGAGTTTCAGTGAAATTTATACAAATTCGAGTTTCTATGAACACAGAAATATTTAAACTATTTTTCTAGATGGTTTTTAGTCGTAAGCATGTTTGGTTACATCGAAAAAAAAAATTATTTCTGACAGTCAATGATTCATTAAATCTTGAAAAAATAAAGTTTTTGTTAGAAATTTGTTTTGAAAAGTATTAATCTTAAAGAAAAAAAATGTTCAATTTGTTATTAAAAAGTTTTTATTTAATTATCAAGTGAGATAAAATTTCAAACATTTTGGTTTTGTGCTGACTTTTTTTTTAAACTTTTTGTAATACTGACGAAAAAATGGAAAACTGTAAAGCGGAAGACCTTCCTATTAAAATTAAGAGCTCACATTTGGAGAGAATTTTCTAGAGATGTCTAGCAACCTATTTTTCAGAGTATAAAGTAAATAAAAAAATAGTCGATTTTTTTGACCCACCCTAATAAACACCCATTATTTGTACAACCTAAAATAATTCAAAGTTCACTATATTCACCTAACAACATGTAAAAGGTAAAGATATATTACCTTAATCATTAAATATCATTTATCCAGTCAAAAATTCTTCAATATGTGCTCTTTCCAATACTGCGGCTTTGTTTGCTTTGTATCCTCTCGATTCACTCTTCAAATAAACAGTAAGCTTGTTGTATTTTCCAATACCTATATGTTTGTAGACCTTTATAGTAGCCTTCAACATCGAATACTTCGACCACATAGATGAAATTGAATATTTTTTCATCAAATTTAAAAAATACGATAGCATGACTTCTTCATTTATTGTCATTACTCTTAGTCCAGTTACTCAGGGTTTTCCCCTCCGATTTATTTATAACTGAACCGACTGACGTGAAATTTTGACTAACCGAAGTGTCCTTTTGCCTTGGGGGGGGGTCCCAACCCCTCCTGGGGGAAGAAAATTTTACGCCAAAAATAACCACAGGAATCGATAGAGGAATCAATTTTAAGTAACAAATGTTATATAAAGTTTTTTGGATAATCCAATACTTTCCGAGTAATTCGCCATTGAAAAGTTTTTTGACAGTTTTTTGCAAATAACACTGAAAACATTGGATTTAACGAAAAAGTTGTAATGAACAAAAAGAAAGGTAATAAAAAACAAATCTAATGATATTATTTTGTTTTTCTCTAATTGCAATATAAACCGAGTTATGGATTTTTAAACATTACTATATGTTAGCTAAAAACAAAATTGAAACCACTTACCAATAACGCCAAAACCATAAAAATTAAGAAAAAAAACTATTTGAACCTTTTTTAAAGTACTTTGAAAAACCTTTAAAATGAGCTGTTTTAAAAGTCTTTAGAATCAAAATTAACGGAAATATGATCGAAATATGATAAAATGCTTAAATTTGTATTTTTCTTTTTTTTTCCAATGAGTGATTTTCACCACTTAAGAACAAAAAGCACACTTAGCGCATATATAAGTTTTGAAGTGGGGGGTAAGATGAGCCTAATTCAAAATTTTGAGAAAAATCGAT